GTTTGCCTTTTCGTGCTTATGGTTCCTGGAGCTGACTTAGTGTTTGGCATATGGCTTGGATGTAGTCGCATCACAAATATTGTGGGAAAAGGGATTCAGTGTTGATGCATGTGTTTCAGTGGATGACAATCAGTGGTTTCATACTCCTCACTGTTGCATTTGAGACTTTATGTGTTTACCCTTTATGTCTCACAATGCCTTCTTTTCCAGTGCTCATGGTAGCATCTTAACTCTCACTGTACTTTATATTGTGAGAATACTGGTCTCTGGGTAGCTTTTTGAGAACAGGTCTTTGATCATGTTCCCTAAACTAAACATTTAGTGTGAGTTCTCCCCATTGATTAACACTGAACTGTTACTTGCTTTGCTAGCTATTTGTGCTTGTGTTGCCGAGGCTACCTCTGCTTCAGAAGCAAGGTTTGGTCAATTTTCTTGTGCTGAAGAATAAGAATTGAACACGTTAGTGACCTTATGGTGACAGGTTCAGTTCTATGGAGAGTTAAATATTCAACGGTTGACTTTTTTTTTCCTATTTGAATATACCATTTCAAATTTTGGTTGGAACAAAGTCAGGTAAAATATAATGAATGAAATATTGACTCAAATACTGTTTTAAAGTATATTTTGTTGGGGCTGGAGAGATGGCTCAGTGGTTAAGGGCACTGACTTCTGTTCCAAAGGACCCGTGTTCAAATACCAGCACCCACAGGGCAGCTGTAACTCCAGTTCCTGTAATGTCCACACTCACACAGACATACACGAAGGCAAAACACAAATGTAAATAAAATAAAATAATTTTTTAAAAAAGTATATTTTGTTACTGGAAACCTGTTGGAGCTCTTCTCCCTAGTTATATTAATTTCTCTATTAAAACATCTGTAGTAAACTGTTTTTTCAGTCCATGAAAGCAAATGTGAAAAATTACCTCAATGATGGTATCCATAGAAGGTCTATCAATTAAACCAGACAGTAGTCTTGACTTTTATACTATGGACCCCAAGAAGAGATGAAGTATGAAAGTAGTTCCAAGGAGGCTTTTATTCATAAATTAGTCAGGAAAATAGTATTAATAGTACTGAGATTTAGAGCTGGTAAACTTGGCATCTTCAAAGTGTGTGTGTGTACCTTTGCTGCTCCTTGAGCTGTTCCAAATGCCAATCAGTGTATAACAAGAGAATGTTAGCAACAATGACAAGTAATATGTCTGTGTAAAGTAGAGAAGTCACTTGGCAAAGTGAAAACGAATACATGCTAAATGGACATCACAGGTATCACTCAGCAAGGATCTGAGAGAAACAACCTGTGGGAAATGGTAGCTACCTCGGCTCAGTCCTCATGGACATGTGTTCTCTCTGAGGAATTAAAACTAACAAGGTTCCAGTTTTGGGCATATCAGGCAAGTCCTGCAGTCAAAGGTACTATGTCAGAGCTCCTACATTGTCCTGAAAAGTCTCAGCCAAAGAGTGAGTCATTTTTTTCAAGGCACAGAACACTCACAGTCTCTTGTCAGGGCAAACAATCAACCCATATAAAAGATCTGTTTGAAAGAGATCTGTTAGTGTTCTGCCACAAGAAGAGAACTGGCTTTCAGCTCCTTAAGTGAAAACAAACAGGAAATTATGGAAGTTGTCACAGAAGAGACAGTGTAAAGATTATAGCATCATCTGAAATGTACCTCTTCACAATTGATGTCTTCTGGCAGGGGTGTGGGAGGAGAAGTAATAAGTTCTATGTAAGGGGCAGGCCAGGGAGAGTTTGACTGTGCTTCAGGGAGTATATAAATAATACAAATTGGACTTATTTTTTTTTTCTTATTTTTCTATTTTTAATTTTACTTTTTTTAGGGTTAGAGGGAGGTCACAAAGGATAGAGGGACAGAAATGGAAAATTCCCAGAGGGTCAATAAAAATGTTATTTTTTTTTTTTTAAAGAGTATAGCATTATAATGATGAACTTTTGGGAAATAATGAAAATTAAAGACAGTAAGTAAATATTTTTTGACCTAGCTTTCCCAGAATATTCAGGACCTATACCTGTTACATTAGAAAGACAACCTTTGGGACATCCAAGACCTCCATGTGTTATTTCTCTGATTGTTTCTGAAGAAGCTATTTAAGATGCCTCTTTACAAGATGAAGAGTAAAAGATGAGAAGAAAGACATGGATAGATTCAAGGAACAAATGAACTAAAAAATGGCACCACAGGTCTAAGGACCCAGGTTAGAGGAAGAAGGGTCTCCAAGTATACTTCAGTGGAAACAAACAAACAAACAAACAAAATGAATTGAAAAATTAGAGGTTGTGAGTGTTTGTGAGGAAAAGTATTGAAAGGATTTGTTTATTTGTTTTTCAGTTAGAATATTTTGAAAGTATCAACAAATAGGTACATTGAAAGAATGATAATGAATGGGAAGGTATAACTGTTAAACCAAGAATTACTAAAAAGCAAATAATATGGGAATATATTAATCACATTTTATGATTTTTTTTATCATCTAAACATAATACTGATCATGTAAATAGTAGAAACAATGGTGGTAAAGAGAGGAGTCTTATAAGCTAAGAGTCAGGGCTAACTTTAAATAATTAACGTGTCAGCTTGATGCAGAACTACTTGACCTCGTAAGTTTGACATATGATAAGGAATATTGAAATAGGCTCATGTAAGAACTAATTGTGTTCTTTTCTAGATCCCACCATTTGCCTGCAAATTTCATGATTTCTTTGTTTTTAATTGCTGAGTAGCATTCCATTGTGTTAAATGTACCACAATTTCTGCATCCATTCCTCAGTAGAGGGGTATCTGGGTTGTTTCCAGCTTCTTGCTATTACAAATAAAGCTGCTGTGAACATGGTTGAGCAGATGTCCTTGTTGTATACTTGAGCGTCTTTTGGATATATGCCTAAGAGTGGTACAGCTGGGTCTTGAGGTAGCACTATTTCTATTTGTCTGAGAAAGCTCCAAATTGATTTCCAAAGTGGTTGTACTAGTTTATATTTCTACCAGCAATGGAGTAGGGTTCCTTTTTCTCTACATCCTCTCCAGCATGTGTTGTCATTTGAGTTTTTGATCTTAGCCATTCTGATGAGTGTAAGGTGAAATCTCAGGGTCATTTTAATTTGCATTTCCCTGATGACTAAGGATGTTGAGCATTTCTGTAAGTGGTTTTTTGTTTTGTTTTGTTTTGTTTTGCCATTTGATGTTCCTTTATTGAGAATTCTCTGTTTAGCTCTGTACCCCATTTTTTAATTGGGTTACTTGATTTGTTGCTGTTTAACTTCTTAAGTTCTTTATATATTCTGGATATTAGCCCTCTGTCAGATGAGTGAGGTATCTCAGAAGCAGAAAGACACACAAGGTATATACTCACTTATAAGTGGATATCAGACGTATAATATAGGATAATCATGCTAAAATCTGTACACCTAAGGAAGCTAATCAAGAAGGAGGACCCTGGTAAGATGCTCAATCTTCATTAAGAAAGGCAAATGAGAGGGACATCGGAAGAGGGAGAAAATAGGGAACAGGACAGGAGCCTATCACAGAGGGCCTCTGAAAGGCTTCACGAAGCAGGGTATCAAAACATATTCTGAGATGCATAGCCAAACTTTGGGCAGAGTGCAGGGAATCTTATGAAAGAAGGGGGAGATAGAAAGACCTGGAGGAAATAGGAGCCTCCACCAAGGGAGCAACAGAACCAAAAAATCTGGGCCCAGGGGTCTTTTCTGAGACAGATACTCCATACAAGGACCATGCATTGAGATAATTTAGAACCCCTGCACAGAAGTAGCTCAAGGCACCTCAGTATCCAAGAGGGTTCCCCATTAATAGGACCAGGTACTATCGCTGACATGAACTCAATGGACTGGCTCTTGGATTACCTCCACCTGAGTTGGGGAGCAGCCTGGCCAGTCCACGGAGGAAGACACAGAAACCAGTCCTGATGAGACCTGATGACTATGGTCAGATGGAAAGGGAGGAAGACCTCCAATATCATTGGACTGGGGGAGGGGCATAGGAGAAGAAGAGGGAGGGAATATTGGATTGGGAGAGGATGGAGAAGGGGGCTACAGCTGGATACAAAATGAATAAACTAATTAATAAAATTTTAAAAAGTGAAAAAAAGAATTAATTGTGTTACTGAAATCCAGGTATTAACTTTTTTTTTTTTTTTTTTTGTAGCTAGTGTTTTATGTGTGTTTTTCTGGTTAATCACTGGTCCTTTCGGAAGAAGTAGTGATTGTCTACTCAGTGGGAACAATTTCTGTATGTCTGAACTCTGATGATGGGCTTTTTCCCGTACTGAGTTTTTTTCTGCATATGTTACTTGATGCTGTGTTATGTCAGTCTACTTGACAGTTTGATTGGCAGATATGAGGATCAGCTTTTGTCTTTGAATCTGACTAAAATTACATTTTTGGTAATTCACAGAAAAGCTGTCCTCAAGTATATCTTATCCATTAGCATTAAATGGAGCAAGTTTTTAAAGAGTTAGTAATTGGGAATGACACAAGCTGAAAGATGATGCTACATATGTATAACTTCCTAGTTACCAAATTTACATACAAATAGCCTATACGGTTCATTTTAAAGTTGACTGTAATGATAATTGCAATTTTAAATTTTCTCGGGTTTTTATGGTTTTTGTTCACTCTATTACTACTGCTACAACTACTCTACTACTACTAATAATAACAACAATAATCTTGATCCCATGTCTTGGGCTTCATGGTTTTTCCATGCTTTGGTGGACACTGTGACAAGAAAGAACACTTGTCTATAGCCTGCCCACACTTGGAAGAACTTCTCTTGGGCTCAGCCTTGCATATGTCTCACTTTACTGTTGATCTTCCAAGAGTGACCTCCCCAGCAGGCTTCTTAGTACCAGTTGTTTTAACAGGTGATAAGGATGTAATGTGAATATTTATTGTTAACCAATTCTTAGCTTAGCTACTGAGAACAGCCTCATCCTCACTCTGGTGTTTTACTTTATATCCAGGAGTGGACCAAGCTTTGCCTCAAGAGCGACGGGCACCTGTCACTCCTTCCTCAGCTTCTCGTTACCACCGCCGAAGATCCTCAGGTTCTCGAGATGAACGTTATCGGTCAGGTAAGGAACTGTATAGAGACACTCCAGCCTCACTATACTTGGGTCTGTTGCTGTGCATGAATTGGGTCCACCTTCCTATTGCCTATGAGACACAAATTCAGGACACTTAGATTTTCCGCAGATGAAGCTCTAGCTCATGTACCAATGTGTGCTGTAGGATAAACATTCATGTTTCTTAATATAATAATTATTACTTCTTTAAATACTTGTTACCTGTACACAGAGATAGCCAGGTACCTTAACAGTGAGTGTGCATACATATCTTAGTTAGGGTTCTATTGCTATTAAGAGATACCACGACACAGCAATTCTTATAAAGGAAAGCATTTAATTGGTTCAGAGGTTTAGTCCATTATCAGCATTGTGGGAAGTGTGGCAGCACTCAGGTAGACAGTGTTAGAGAGGTAGCTGAGAGTTCTACATCTGGATTGGTGAGCAGCAGGATGAGAGAAAAGCCAGCAGGTCTGGCTCCAGGTTCTGAGACCTCAAATGACACAGTTCCTTCAATAAGGCCACACTTTCTCCAACAAGGTCATACCTACCCCAACAGTGCCACTTCTTATGAACCTGTGGCCTGTGGGGGCCATTTTTATTCAGTCCACCCCAACAAAGAAGGCTTTTGTTAGATTTTTTTTTATTTCCTCCTCATTCACATGTACATATTTTAAAAAATAAAAATCTAAAAAGAGGTGAGATAGTGGCTTGTTTTAATCTACCGCTATTGAATCTTTTCAAAATTTTCTAGTAGGTTTTGTTTTTCTTGAGCCAACAAGGAAGATTTAAGTCATTTGCAAGAAAAGAGCCTTCTAGCTCCTTAAGAGGTCTGAAGGTCTATGACCACTGTCAGTAAAGCTGCTTTGGTTGCTCCAGTGATCAAATTGTGTTGCCTATGAAATAATTCTGTTACACTGTAGATAACTAAACTAATTAACGATCAATACAGTTAGCTATACAGAAGCAAATTTAATTTCTCTTAGATATATTCTGTTTCAATTCAAAATCCACATGCCTATATAGTACTGAATTCTTGGTAGCTTACCTTGAGCTAGCCAAGAACTCAGATAATATGGCAAAGCATATAAACCCTAGTAATAGTCCAGCTGACAACTACGACAACCCCAATTAGAGTAAAATAATATCCCGTGACTCAGGGATGCTAACAGTTTAGTTCCTTGCCAGTCACATTGGCTCTAAAGTTGTGGCAGTCTTGTCTCAGGTTCATGAGTGTTGAGGTTTCAGATGTGAATCACGTCACTATTCTTGGCAATACTTTTTTATAATAGTGTCTACATGTCTGTTCTTTTGAAGGTACTTGTGGGGGGTGTACCTAAATTTAGAAAATGAGTGACTATAAAAGCATTTATTGGGCACTTAGAATATATTATATGAGACACTGTTTAGTTACTACCATTATGAAGTCTAAATGAGGGCTTCATTTCTAGTTACACTCAATATCCTATTTGTATAATCAAAATTTCACAAGAAAAACCCTTTAGATTTAAGTTTACATCTGTTAAAAATAAAAGACTGACAATGAACAATGTTAAAAGTAAAATGTAGAATACCGTTTCATAATGTTCTTGGAATGATTTATGTTTGGTTTTATAAACCATGTTTTTCATTTTGTGTGGTATGTAATTTTTTGTTTTGTTTTGCTTTGCTAATGAGATCAGTCCCTCTGATCTCAGCACTGGTCTCCATTGCTATCCAGTCTAGAACAGAGCTGGCAACTCTATAATGACCACCATCCCTGTGTGGAGATCCATGAGGTTCTTGTGTTTTCAGAATGATGCTAACATGCTACTTCCTTCTAATTCTCATTTTTTCAGAGTAGACACTAGTTTTTTGGGTTGTTTGTTGCAGAAGCTTCATACATGTGCTTGTATATTGTGAAAAAATACAATCTGTGATAGTAAAGTTTTCGGTTTAAAAATAGCTGTTTAACGTGTTCTTTTTTATTGTGGTGGGTGGGTATGTGGTGGTCAGAAGACAAGTTTGTAGAGTCAGCTTTTATCATTTTACATGAGTTCTGGGAATCAAACTTGGACTGCCAGGCTTGGGCAACAAGCACTTTGATCTCCTGATCATCTCATGGGTGCCTACTTAATTTTTTAATGTATAAAATATAAACATTACCCATTAGTTAACAAATTTAAAGCTTTATAGTAGTTGAGAGTTAAAAGCCTTTTTTTAGTCAAAGAGTTCAACAATTATTGCCACAGCCTTTTTTTTATAGTTCCACTTTTTTAAAAGTTGAGAAATTATATGAACTGAAAACTTCATCAAAATTTCCCCTTTAAGCTGTCTGTCATCCACCCCATCACCACTCACAATGTGAACTTTGCTGTGTTTAGTTTCTAGGGTTAAACTTGTATTTTTCTCTTCTGTTCTTTTTCATTCATTCATCCTTTCAACAAATGTAGAAACTGTATACTGAGCACTTTGCTGTGAAATATGGCTGAGGCAAAACTATGGTAAAAAAAAGTCTTTGCTATCAAAGAGCTTCCTAGAATAATTTCTACCTTTTTCCTGAAGTTTAATTTTCTAGTTGAAGGTTTCTCTTTTTTAAGCCAGTTGATTTTACTTACTTTATGAAGATTTTTAGGGCATGATTTTGCTTTCTCTGAACAGCTCAATTTCTTCCTTATTGATGGTAATAGAAACATGTTTATTTCCTTATTGTGTTAGAATATTATGAGCTATTAGACAAAAATATACATAGTAGCATTGAAAAGACTGTGAATATCACTATCCCTGGAACAGTGACATACTGTCTATAAAGGATGCCCTGTCTGGTGTAGTTGTCATTATATACATAGGACCAGTGAATTTTAAACAGGTAAAGATTAAATAAAATTTAAAATTCTTTTCTACCTCACTCAAAACATTTTAAGATGAGCAGCTTCCATGCTGAACACTGCAGGTAGGAACTTTTCTATGTCTACCAAATGTTCTGTTCTAGGTACATTATTTTGGGAACTCATGAAAGAAAAGGCAAAAGATGCATTAAGAGAGCATAAAGGTTTGTTGGCTTCACACTAAAGGAAGTTAATTTGGTTACCTATGCCTAGTCAATAGGAGATTTTAGAAATACGAATATAGCAGAAATGTATAGGATATACTGGTAGGATTGGAATGGATTTCTGACTCTAAGCAGAAACAGATTGAACACATTTGTTGGATTATAGATAGAAGAAAAGATGCTGAATCAAAATGTGTAAGATGCAGTGGAAATGGTGTTTTGAAGAAATTCGTGTCAAATGCTCTTGTTAAGAAAACAAGATCCAGAAAGTGAAAAAGCAGCTCAACCTCCAAGTGGGTGTTCTAGTAAGGGCAACAGGGACTGTCTCTGACATGAACTCAGTGGCTAGCTCTTTGATCACTTCCCATGGTGCGGGGAGTGCAGCGGTATCTGGCCACAGAGGAAGACAATGCAGACAGTTCTGATGAGACCTGATAAGCTAGGGTCAGATGGAAGGGGACTTGAAGAGAGGCATGGGAGAAGAGGGAGGGAGGGAGGGATTGGGAGGGGCTGAGGGAGGGGACTATAGCTGGGTTACAAAGTGAATAAATTATAATAAAAAGTAAACATTTAACTTAAGATATTAGAAAATAAAAATTTACACAAAGAAGAAATGAGAAAGAAGGTAGACTGAAATCAAGAATATAGAGACTCTTTTTTAGATTGCAAGTTGCTTATAACCTATCATGCTTGTCCTCACGAATGCACAGAAAGCTAAGGATTCTTCCTAGATTCATCAAATACTTGAAATCATACACCAGTTTATTGGCTCAGAACTGTAAATGGTTAAGGTAAGTAGATATTTGGAGAGCCTAATACTCAAGATCTGATAAAATGAAGACTACCTACTGAGGCTAATTTTCCTTCTCCCTGCAATTATAACTTGCCCACAGTTCTTTCTCTAGGATTGAGACCCTGTGAAAAATTTCCCCTTCCATGTTAACATGTACACTATTGCTCTGGTATTCTTTATGCAGTCCTTTCTAGGAGAGACTATTTCACAGCAGACTCCCTGTTGTTCTGGCTGTTAGAGTTGTTCTGCCTCCTGTTCCCTGAGCCATAGATACAGGAGCTATGCCTGTTTGTATGTATATATGCACACATATATTTTTGCACACACATATATAACAATAATAAAGGAAAGGAGTCTATCAACTTGAGAGAAGGGATATGGAAGGGGTTTGAGGATGCTGGGAAGGGGGCTGGAGGAAGGAAAAGGAGGAAATTGATGTAGTTCTATTTCAATTAAAAACATTAAAAAATAATAAATGAGGATAAAATATTTTTAATTGACCTAGCAGATAAAGATGTAGTAATTATAGACTATGTATCAGTAAAATAAATAACAGCAGTGGTACAATTGACAGGATGAAGATTTGGGGACTAATTTGTAATGAAGTCCTTATACCACCATGGGGTGGTATTATCTGATTTTAAAGTCGACTTGGATTAATTATAAATGTATGTAAGGGCAACTATGCAGGGGGTATTACAGTAAAGAATAACATAAGAGAAAGAAATATAGATTATATAAAACTCTGTACTAGAAAAGGCAGAAAATATGTGTAACACAAGAAGAATACTAAGATAAAAACTCAAGTGACAACACATGCTGGAGAGGATGTGGAGAAAGCGGAACCCTCCTCCACTGCTGGTGGGAATGTAAACTTGTACAACCACTCTGAAGATCAATCTGGTGCTTTCTCAGACAATTAGGAATAGTGCTTCCTCACGATCCAGCTATACCGCTCCTAGGCATATATCCAAAAGATGCTTAAGTACACAACAAGGACATTTATTGACCCATGTTTGTAGCAGCTGTATTTATAATAGCCAGAAGCTAGAAACAACCCAGATGCCCCTCAACTGAGGAATGGATATAGAAATTGTGGTACATTGGTACACAATGGAATATTACTAAGCAATAAAAAACAAGGAAATCATGAAATTTGCAGGTAAATGGTAGGAACTGGAAAAG